TGCGCCCAGCTTTAAATTAGAGAAGCCCTTACAACTAACAGTACAACACAACACTATCACAGTAAAGAAAGAAAAGCATTGACATGATATAAGGGTGCTCAGGAGCAACAACAAATCCTAAAAGACAAAAACAAAGAGTCACTGAGGCCTTCCAACATGATCGGAGGACCGATGCAGAGAAGGAAGCCAACTCGGGGAGGATACTAGAAATCAATGAAGGCCATGCCTTTGCCATCACCTGGGCGTCCGGCACAACAGCACCATCCAGTTCCATCGCTGAAGGGACCCCCTCTGCTCCCTCGCCATGGCTCGAAGGGCAGTGCACCGTCAAACGATGGGAAGGCTCACCCTAGAGCCTAGATAGACACCGACGCCAAGACCCAATGGGAGGCATCCGAACATAACCAATGATCTAGTGTAACATGTAAAACAATGATGAACAATGGTCAAGTCACAAATATCATGTCAGCATATATGATCATGTAAAACAAATGACAATGGAAACATAAGTCATGTAAAGTAAAAAAAATGGAAGTTGCAAGGCAATATATCTTGGAATAGCTACGGATATGCCATAATAGGTAGGCAGGCATGTATCCTGCGCATGTATAGGATGCACGGTTACACAGGGCCCCACGAGTTTGGGACCCCACTTTTATCAATTCAGCTAACACTACTCTGTAGTACTCCCTCCGTCCCACAATATAAGACATTTTTGCAAGCTATGTTAGCTTGCAAAAATGTCTTTGTTGGAAAACATGGTAGAAAACAAAAAGAAAATATCGCCATACGATCACGATGCCCTTACGAAATCTGTCCGGACACAACATTTTGTTGCTGATGATGAGCTGGACTTGAAAAATGAAAATTCCAACTTCTTTTTCGTGCATTGGAGCAAAAGAAGATGGTATCTCGAGAGTGTTGACACTACCACTGAGCATCTCGAAAGATCCGTCAACGACAGAAGGATCAAGTGGTCTGATCGAAGCAACCCCAATAGAAGGATGAGACTTGCCTGCTCCTCGCTTGTGCGCCCATCCGTGCTCCCGCATACGTGGCTTGATTTGATTTGAACAAATTAAGACCCGGCCCCATCCCCTTAAAATCAGAGGGGGGAGGGGGGGGGGCATGATTAGATTAGAAAGGAAAAAGGAAAAAAGATAGCCGCAGGATGAGGTGGAAGCACGGATAAAAGCATGAAGAGAGAACAGGCAAGCCAAATCCCCAATAGAAAGGCCATGTCACCTCTCACAATGATAATTAGTTGGAAGGACTATTTAGAATGAAAGGAACGTCCAGATCTTTCGCCACAAGAGCAGGCACTCGAAGGTCTGCTTAAGCAAAATTGAGGACGAGGTCAAACTATGGATCACCGCTGGCGCAAAATAAACTGGGAATAATTGTATTAGGAGAGTAATTCCTTTTGTTTCCGGGGACTTGTAACGAAACCCTTTTCTCCTCTTCAGCAATATATGATGCAATTCTTTTACCTTCATTTTAATAAAAAGATTAGCGATGGGTGAAACGAAGCAAGAGCCTGTTTCGATATTAGCAATCAATACAATTCATTTATCACTTCAGAAACAAAGCAGACATAGATTATAAGATCATCTTCAGCTACGTACCTCTAATTCAACCTCTTAAATGTCCGCGAACGCGCCCGGCCAGTGACCGGGCGGATCCGTTTTGAGCCCCTATTTTTTCATCCACTCGCCACACTTCTCATATAAGAGTATGTCCAGTCGATTGCACGTGATTGGTGGAGAAGAGGAGAGAGAAAGAAAAGAATAAATAAAGAAAGAGAAAGGTGGTCGGGGTTAGGGTCGCGTCATACGTGACGGACTGACCGGGCGTGCCTGACGGGTCCGCGAACCCTCATATCGTCCTCATATTTAAGATGGATATGAGTGGCGCCGATCAGTCCGGGCGTTTGAGATGGTTATAAGAGGTCCGATTGAATCGCGTTTTTGTGACCGTCACTAATTGAACGGTCTGTCCGAACGTTTGAGACAGATATGAAAGGTTGAAACTAATGTACAAAGCTCGGTACAACAGTGGCGGCAGGGGATGCCTAATTACTCGAGTTACTAGTGGCCATCGGTGGAGATGATGAGCGCTACAGGCTTGGGTTAAGACCATAAGGCGACACCGTTCTTTCGGCTGATATAGCGTGACTGTGCGAGTGTGAAAAGTCGTGCGTTCTACAGCTAGTACTGCTCATCGCAAAAGGCATTGCGTGGTGAAAGTTGTCAATAATCTCGTGCCAATTCCCACAAACATCCTCTGAAAAGAAGAATCTCCGGACATCTCGGCGAGCGGTAAAGAATGCTCTACCCCGTCGGCCTCCTACGTCGTACCCCAGGCAACAATGCATTAACCTTCTCCGCTGAAGGCTAAATTTTGTGTTTTGGTCTTTTTCTGAAATGTATTTGAGATTTGATCCTAGTTTGAAAAAATTTTGAGATCTGATTTTTTTGCTATCGCCAAGGACCATGACAGCCTACCGCCAAGGTTCCTGGCGGTAGGGTTGCATGCCCTACCGTCAAAAACCTCCTAAGTATTAAAACAGTGCGTGCATGCTCGTGCCTACCGCCAAGCACCGCCGCCAGCCCGGTTGGCGGTAGCGATGTTTTCTACCGCCAAAGTTCCTGGCGGTAGGCTGTTAGACCCTATCGCCATGGACTCTGACGGTAGCAAAAGGGTGAGATCTTAAATTTTTTTGAAACTAAGGTCAAATCTCAAATAAATTTTAAAAAAGGATCAAAACACGAAAATTTGCCTCCGCTGGACTGACTCTCCCCGGTGCCCAACATCCTTCCAAAAATCGGGATTCGCGAGTGACTCCAAGAACAACTGTGAGCGGCTCCCCAGAAACAACAGCAAAAGGCACTACATGTACAGCCCGGTGTAGGTAGCCATTTGTAAATGACACGATCGCCGGCTCACCCGTCACCGGTCACCACCCATGCACGGAGCACATGGGGGCACAACGCACCTAGATAATCTAGAGCACCGCACAGCGCGCAAGAAGGCCTTTCCCCCCGGCCGCGCTACCGCTGCCCCTCCTCCACATAGGTCGCCACCACTAGTTGTTACTAGTCAGTCCTCTAGCGCCGACGCATCGCCCAATCATCAACTGGGCAGGTAAAGGCTTCCCCATGGCAAGGCAGCAAGATAGATACTCCTACTCCACTGCGCCAACGTTTTCACCGAGACGCGTATGCGCAGCAGCTTTGCAGGAGCCAGCGCAGCGAAGAGCCCGAGTGGTCACGGCAGCCGAGCTAGATCGATAGGAGCAGATCGATATGGAGATGACCGGCGAGCGGTGAAATTTAGCTCCTTTTTGCGCGAAAAGAATCGATGATTGTGTGAGTGAGTGAGTAAATATTAGGGGGTGGAAAAGGGATATCGACGAGCTCTCTGCGGCCTCGACACGGGGGAAAAGCGGGATCGGTCGGCTTATGGATGCGCGTCAGTGCTAAGTACTATATATACTGTTTCGGTCCCGTTTTTTGACCTCCTTTAGGTGGCTCGTTCTGTCCCAGGATGGTTTGGTCACTCTTTTCCTTTGGACCGCGCTTTGCCGATCCATTCATCTCGATGCAAGTTAAGATGTACGAGTAATTCAGACTTGAGAGTTCAGAGCGCTCTTCTTTTGATCCTTCCCTCGCTTCGATAGATTGACTGATCATGGATAGTACAATCAATCCATCATCCATCTTTAAAGTGGTAACAAAATCTACAATGGCAGAAGGCCAATCTTTCTATGTCACAACAGAAAAGAAAAGAAAAATCCTAGATCTCCCTTAAATCCGAACCCTTTGGCACCACCGTAAAACACATTTTTCAGAAGCAATCTCCACCGAAAGACCAAAAAATCTTCGGCCCGTTTTGCTCTCTGGACTAGATTCAGGAAAATTTCGTAGCATGCATGTTGATAGCCATAGCACTCCTACTACTAGCACCACTTCTGCAACGTTTCAAACAATCCAAGCAAGCTTGTGGTCCGTCCGATCCGACGATCATTATTGGCGATGGATATGTATATGTGAACCCCAGCAACAACAAAGTAGCTGGGCCGCCGAGTACTCCGGAGTACATGGATCCATGATGAGATCGTCGCAGTGGCTGTACTAGGATCGCAGTCGCAGCAGCAGACTGCTGCTGCCCAAAAC